ATGTGCTGTTTCTAATGCCACCTGTGCTCCCCTTTTTGAGTTCTCTCGGCAAACTCCTGTTCTGGACACTCACTGCATTGGGTGCCTGCCTCTAGCTTAGCTCTTACTGCCCTTTATTAGAGGATAATATGGTCTACGTCCTCCACTAGATTGAGCTTCTCAAAGGCTGAGACCTACCTTATTTGTCTTTATCTCCAAGGTCTAGCATGGTGACTGGCTGTGTAAATACAGAGCAGGGAGCATAAAAGAGAATTAGAAGGCTTCTAATGGGAAGAAAAAGGACTTGTGGAACTGATGAAAAGGAATAGCTTAAGAAGAGAAGCTCTTCTAGAGAGAAAAGATTGAGTACATTTCTAAACGTCTTGAAATGATGGAAAGATAAACAAGTGACGATATCCAGTAGGGATGTGGAACAAGAAAACTGTCGCAAAGGTTCTTTTAAGGACCAAAACATAGTCTTGCAAGTCTTTGTGACAGAAGTACTAACTGAAACTATCAGTGAATCGACTCACTGACTAAAACAATGCAGAGACACAGAGGAGAGCAAGAGGGAGAAGTGAAGGGACAGCATCCTGGCACACACCTGTAGTTAAGGGGGTTGGGGAAGACAAGGACACAGCACAGAGATCTGGAAGAAATTCCGAAGATCACTGTAGCAACACTGAAGTCAAGGAAATCGTTCTCCAGTTTGTGTCCGTGAGTAGGTGTCTGTGATAACTGCTTTGTAACGGTACAGATTATAAATAAAAGTCCGTGGGCAGCAACAGAAAAACAACACATAGGTTTTCAGTGCGGCTGGGTCTGTCTGGACCTGCCCACCAGTGGTTTGGGGATCTACTTCGTTCAGACTAGAGAACACCCACACAAAATTTCCTCTGGATGGCAACCCAGCACAACGTGTCTTCCACCTCTTCACACTGACTTCGCTTCGCCTCCTCTCTTCTCCAAACATAGGCTGGGTGATTACACCCTCTTTGTGTCAAAACAGCACACTTGCAATCATTTTATGGCACCCACATTCTTCTATTTTAATCTTTAAGATTTTATAAGGTGAAATGGTCTTTGCAATTGTTATCCTGTGTTAATTTTCTTTTTCTTATCGACACCTTAAAATTCCTTTCTTCTAGTTTGTTTTTGCTCTGTTGGTTAAACCAGCATTTCCCAATTGGTCAACTACAGACTTCTTCAGGGGTAAGGTGGGGAATGTTACTGCAATTGACTGAATCTCTTTGGTAATAGTCTCCTTGTCTATCCCTTAGGCTTACCACAGACCAGTAGGAATTGCTTAGGTACAGTGTCATTTTGCAATAGAGATCACTAACTTTTGACCTCAAAGAGCACCTGAGACACTAAATTCATAAAAAATTTAGTAATCACACTCCAAATGGTCTGTGTGACTACTATTTTTACCTTTCTGTAAATCAGATTTATTAAACATGACCTTCCTCAATGACTCATTTTATTTGTTTAGAAACTGAGATACAATCATTCCTAAAGAAAAGTGAATAAAACTGTACATATGTGCAGTTTAAAGAATAATTATAAAGTGAAAACTCAGGTCCATAAATAGTACATTCTCCATCTCCACATCCCAGGATCTGCCCCCCCTCATATGCCCCTCCCTGATCATATCTCCTTTCTCACCCTAGAGAGAAACATTTGTGATAATCATTTCTTTGCTTTTCTTTATAGTTTTACTACTTATGACTGTATTTGAAATAATATAGTAGAGTTGTGCCTGTTTTTTAACTTTATGTAAGTGGAAACATTCTGTATTCTTTGGTTGTCTCAGTATGGCAATTCACCATGTTATTGTAAATAATCATTTGTTTCTCTTTGTTGCTGTAATCTATTTCACAGTATGACTGTAACATAATTTAGCCATTCTATTGTTGATCCAAGTTTAGGTTGTATAATGGTTTCAGCTATTACAAAAATGCACATGTACCGGAAATTCTGTAGAACTGCTGAGTCACAGTGAACGTGTGTCTTCAATTTTACTAGATAATGCCACATTTCCCCAAGTGATTGTGTCAATTTATGCTACCCCAGTGTAAGCAGACATTCCTTGCTTCTTCCTTAAAACTTGTTTCTGTCAGACTTTTAAATTGTTTTTTGATCTGGTAGGTGTCTAATAGTATTGCATTATGATTTTTATGTTCATTTCTATAGTTACTAATGAGAATGTTGTTCCTTTCATATATTAGTCATTTGCATTTGGTGCTGTGCCTATTTAAGCTTTTTGCTTATTTTCAAAATGGGCAAGTCTATTTCTTATTGATTTGTGTTATCTGCATATTTTGGGTACTAATTCTTTTTCATTCACTTCATGGTATTGCTTAGTAAACAAAAGTCCATTACTTTTATGTAGCCCAATATTTTTCTTTATGTAATACATCATTTTATAATTACTGAACTTTTCCTTTATAGCTAAAAATAATTCCTCTTAATCTAAGTCATAAAGATATTTTCTCATATAGGTCCACATAACTTATCTGAAATCCCTGGAGCCAGATGTTTTAAATATTGAGCCAGATGTTTTAAATATTAGAAGGGTAGCATGAAACATACAACATATATTGTATAATATTCTTGACAAGAACTGGGACAGCACCTATAATGAAATACATTAATATTTCTACAGAGAAAAACATAAGCAGTTACGTGATAATGTCAGTAACAACTATAAAGAGACTCATGTTACTTTAAGTCATATTTTTCACCAAATGAGTTCCAAAGTGCTTGGTGTTTCAGAGGTTTGGGATTTTATAATTAGTACAAAATTTGTGGTAGCCTTATTCAGTAAGAATGGAGTATTTCAAAGTTTGTAGAAACTTACTGGTGGAGCCATGTACCTGGGATTTGTGTGTATGAAGATTCTTCACTGCTCATTCAAAGCATTTAATGGTTTCTCTACTTTTGAGTCAGTTACTTGTTTTTCTTGAAATTTGTACACTCATTTAAATTTTACTTACATTAACTTTTTTATAAGGTTATTTAACTTTTTTGATGTCTATAATATTTCTGGTTTCCATTCTTGATAAAGATTGTTGACATCCCTCCTTTTATTGCTATTAGATGTTTGCCAATTTTAATTAGTTTTTTCAAAAAAAATCAACTTTTGTTTCTTTCAACCTATTCTATGCTGTGGCGTGCTAGTGAGTTGGCTCCAACATAAAACAAAATCCTGGCTTGTTTGTTGATTTCCATAGTGTAAAGGGTCCCATCACAGGTGACTTCAAGCTACTTATTTGATGTTACTGATCACAGAGTTGGCAAGAGGTATGCACAATTGGCTCTTCCACACCAGTACAGGCTGGCTCTGCTACACCACTGCCTTTATTTTCCATTTCGTTCCTTTCTGCTGCTAATATTATTTCTGTCCTATTTTCTTTAGTCTTATTTTGCTCTCCTTTTTCTAACTTCTTGAAAAGGGATGTTTAGCTCAAGACTTTTCAGACTCTTCTAATATGCTTACTTAGGACTGTGAATGTCCCTCTAAGTGCTGCTTTAGCTTCACCCAACAGGTGTTGCTATTGTATTTTATGGGTCCGTTCAAAATATTTTCTCGTTACCACTGACTCTGTCTCTGTGTTATTTGGACTTGTTTTTACAGTTCTTTATTGATTTCTATCTTAAATGCACTGCGGTAAAAAATGTGAATTACTTTAATTTTCAAAATTTGTTGAGTTGCTTTATAGCTAAATATGTGGTTGACTGTGGTGATATGTTGTGTCTGCCTTCAAAAAAACTGTACATTCTGATTTTGGTCATGTTGTTCTGTATGTATTAATTGCATCGTTTGTACATTATGTTATTCTCATTTTCTATATCCTTAATTTTTCTCTTGCTAGTCTTAATTACTGAGAAAGGCCTATAAAAGTCACTCAATATGACCATGCATTTTTTTCTTTGTAATTCTGTCGTTTCACTTTGTATCATACATAGTTTTCATTAGGTATATATAAATTTAAAACAGATTTCTTTTTTAGACTCAGAAGTCGTCTAAGACTCTTTCCTTTTATTCCTTTTATATCTCATCAGTCATATTTAAAAGATATCTCTCTGAAAACTAGCGTCAAAAGACACAATGTAAAAGAAGTGGGTGGATCTGGTAAAGCTAAAGTAAATCCACCATGAGAGTCCATTAACTACGAGGGAAATATTTTCTGTATTGCAGAACACATATTTGGTGGGACTTAGCTTCACTTCACATAGCCACCCTGAAAAGGCTGCATATGTTGAATTTGGAATGGATCAAACTGCACTGAGTGTGAAATGGTAAATTGCTTATCTTATATCTAGATGATGGAGCAGATGGAATCTATTGAGAACGAGGTGCCAGATGACTGACCACAAACATGCTTTTTAATAAAGATCCAGGCCGGGCACAGTGACTCACGCCTGTAATCCAAGCACTTTGGAGGCCAAGGCGGGTGGATCACCTGAGTTCGGGAGTTCAAGACCAGCCTGATCAACATGGTGAAACCCTGTCTTAAAATAATAATAATAATAATAATAATAATAATAAATTTAAATGGATTTAAAAACAAAGAAAAAATAAAAAATTAAGATAAGATCCTGCTGGGATATGAACTCATATATATTTTTTAAATTTTTTTCTTGTTCATTTTGTTTCTAAGATAACTCACATATTAAAAATAACAACGTCTCAAAACATTTTAAAAATAACGTCTGAAAACATTTTAAAAGGGGATAAAACCCTTTTAAAACATCTCGCTGTTTCGGGGGGTAAAAAAAGCCACAAAGGAGATTAAAACAATACAAATATTTATTTTCCCAACTCCCCTGACCAATTTGCACTTCCCTGGCTGTACTTCACTGGGTTCTCAGCCTGGACAACTCATTTGCCATGGGGCTCTGAGACGTCACTGCCTCTTTGTGAGGCCCGTTTCGTCCTTTTATTTTAATCCAAGAAGCGATGGTGGCATAAGCCTGTAGCCCCAGCTACTTGGGAGGCTGAGGTGGGAGGATCGTCTGGGCCCAGGAGTTCGAGGCTGCAGTAAGGCGTGTTCTCACCACTGCTCTCAAGCTTGAGCGGCAGAGCGAGACCCTGTATCAAAAACAAAACAAAACGAGAAGGCATCGCGGCTCTGCAACATTCCGTCCAGCTCTCGCACCCACAGTGCAAACTTCCACACGGAACTCTCGGCTCGCCTTGTCCTGCGGGGCTTCCTGGCGACGCCGTACCATAAACATGCATATACCCTCCTTGCCCTTGAAGGCCGGAAGTCAGTTTTACAGGTAAAAGGGCAAAACAGGAAGTCCCGCCCCTCTTTGAAAAGTCCATGGTGGCCCGGAAGGATAAAAAAGGAACCTGCGATTTCGCCGCGTGAATTGCTTTTTGCTGTTGGGAAGGTCTTCGCTGCTAGAGCGCGAGCCGGCGGGGCGACCTTGCAGTGCCGGGACTCGGCACCGCGCCCTCCTCCGCCGGTTGGTGGCCTGCGTGACCCTTTCCTCCCGTCGACGTGGAAAGGAAGCCGGACGTGGGCGGGCAGAGAGGTAGGCTCGCTGGTGGGTCCGGGTGGGGCGCGCGTGGAGTACGGGCCCGGGAGTTCCCTTACTGTCCCCAAGCGGCGGGTTCCTCTTGTGCAAAACGGGGTGGCCCTGCAGTCGCTTGTTTGGTGACTGTGGCCCCCCCACACAACCGTTTCTACAGCGCTTAGGTTCCAAGAGCAACCCTGTGACCTAGGCACTGCTGTCCCCGCTTTACCCGTGGGAAATGAGCTCGGAGAGAATAAATGAGCTGTCCTAAGCGACTGGGACGGAGCCACAGTTCCCACCCGGGCTCTCTGAGCCCACGCTGCGGCCCCAGCAGGGATCAAATCACGTGTGAGATGCGCCTTTAGAGCTAGTGCTCTTTTGCTGTGACTGAGAACTGATTGTTTTCAATTGTATCATCAAAATCTCAAGGCATGCTTTTTTTAATTTTTAAAGGAAGAGGAGATTGACAGTTTTCCTCTTCCCTTGCCTTCTCTTCAGATTACAAAGTTCATCGTTAATCTCAAATGTTCTTTTGGCCAACAGCTTCATCCCATTAGGAATGGCAGCCCCATCTATGAAGGAAAGGCAGGTCTGCTGGGGAGCCCGGGATGAGTACTGGAAGTGTTTAGATGAGAACACAGACGATGCTTCTCAATGCAAGAAGTTAAGAAGCTCTTTCGAATCGAGTTGTCCCCAACAGTGGGTAAGTCACACTTTGATGTGTTTCTCTTCCCTGTTAAGATGCATCGAGCTTATAGTGTGAGTGGTAGGCTGACGTGAAGCACTCTCTGAGGCATGCCAATCAACAGTTTCTTTGAGGAGCAGAGAAAACCTGGTCGGGTCATTCAGCCTTGTTTGATGCACTTACATCAGGTAGACCTTTGGAGAATGTCAGCGGACACTTTAAAGAGCATTGAAAAGCACAACAAACATGAACAATAACCAAAAAATTTCAGCTCATTTCACTGCTAGACTTTTCCAGGATCTTCTGAAGGGGTAGTATTTAATCTTGGGGAGGAGTTGGCAAACTTATTGGCCTAGAGCTACTATCAGAAATAAAGTAGTTCCCAGTTGCTCACCAAAATCATATAGTCATATACCCAAAATATAAATAAAGAAGTTTGGTAAGTAGAAGAAAGAAAAGGTTCATATTGTGGATTCTGTGCCCCTGACAGGCATTCAAGCGCTGTATTCCCCATCCTTAGTGTAAGTGGGGATTGGAAGGGGACTGTTCTATTACTGAGGTTAGTGAATGGCCCTGTGTGCTAAGCGCTTGACAGTTCGTCTTCACCAATGCCCGTTAAGATAGGTGTTGTTATTCTCTATCTCCACAGGAAGCAGCTGAAGCTCAGAGCATTGAAGTAACTTGCTTGTTACTATTCAGTGAGTGGCAGAATTGTAATTTGAAGGCTGGCCCAGCTGGCTGATGTGGGATTTGAACTTGGATTTGTCTTTGCTTTTTCACTATCTTATGCTGCTCCAAAACATATCATATAGTAGGAGAACAGATAATTTTAGAGATGAAGTGGTTTTAGGGTTTTTACCCTCTTGCTCCTCAAACTTTTGAGAGGCTTTGAAGGAGACCACAAGAAAGGTGTGATGCAGGGGGAGGAGTTATATTGGTGGGCTGAGCTGGGGATGAATGCAGTGAACATAAAATTTATTTTTCTTTATTTTTTAGAGACAGGGTCTCAATCTGTCACCCTGGCCAGAGTGTAGTGGTGTGATTCATAGCTCACTACAGCCTTGACCTCCTGGCCTCAAGCGATCCTCCCGCTTAAGCCTCCTGAGTAGCTGGCATTATAGGTGTCTGCCACCATGCCTGGCTAATTTTTTTTTAAATTTTTTGTAAAGACAGGGTCTTACTATGTTGCCCAAGCTGGTCTCAAACTCCTGGGCTCAAGTGATCTTCCCACCTTGACCTCCTAAAGCACTGGGATTAACAGGCATGAGCCACCACATCTGGCCAGAAATTGCTTTAGATGAACTCTTCATCTGTAAAACCAGCATGATGCAACCTATCTCCTGGGATTGTTATAAAGACAAAATGCATAACTTGACATGTAAACTGAAAACTGGTAAATGTGGGACTTTATGATTGAATTAGATAATGATTCAAGCAGAAAATGCTATCCATCTGTAGTTTTCCCATTAGACAGATGCATTGAGAGGAACTCCAGGTTTAAGGAGTTCCTCTTCATTCCCACTTTTATCCTCTCTCTCCTCATGAAACTCACTGCTTTTTCTCCAGCCTAATGGCTCCCACTCCCAGGGCAGCTTCCAGTCTGTGTGTCAGAAAGGGTTTTTACAGCCAGCCACTGGTTCTGTACCGCACATCTCTCTCACTTGAGCAGCCTGGGCGCTGTGCCCTGAGGGCTTAACCTCTCTCCAGGTCACTGTGTCCTGGTTACCGCTAACATTAATTGAGTACATCCTCTACACTCTACACACTTGAAATGTGTCATCTGTCTTATTTATCCGTCATGGAACTCTCTTAGCGGTTTTACAGATAAGGGCAGATTGACATGAACTCTCTTGTAGTCACAGAGCCTGGATTTGAACTCAGTAGTCTGATTCCAGACCTTACATACTTCTTCCTGTGCCTACCATGCAAGAAAAGCATCCATGAAAATAGCTTGCACAAATCTCATCTTCTAGAAACTTAGTCATAATTCAAGTCTACTTAAATACAAAAGCTCTGTCTTCTTGGGTCCCTTTCCAGTTCTCTCACCCAGTTCCTTCTTTCATGTCTAGCAGCCGCTGCTCTTTGGAATGCCTTCCTGTGTGTCTGTTAAGTGCCCGTGTTCCTTAGAGCTCCCTTCTGTGCTACTCACCCACCCAAGGCAATCCTATTGACAGCCGTGGCTTTAAGCCCCAACTTATGTGTTGATGCCTATCTTAGCTCAGGCTGTCATAGGAAAATACCTTACAGAAATATATTTCTCACAGTTCTGGAGGCTGGAGGTCCAAGATCAGGATGCCAGCATGGTCAGTTTCTGATGAGAGCCCTCCTCTTGGCTTGTAGACAGCCACCTTCTTGCTGTCTTATCACCCAGCAGGGAGAGAGAGGTCTAGTCTCTTCCTCTTGTAAGGACATTAAGCCCATCAGATTAGCAGGGCCCACATTCATGACCTCATCTGAACCTGATCACCTCCTAAAGGCCCCAGCTTCAAATACCTTCACATTGGGGTTAAGGTTTCAACATTCGAATTTGGAAGAAGCATGAGCCTTCAGCCCATGCAATGCCCAAAGGTGCATCTCTAACCTGGCCCTTTCTCCAGCTCCAGAACCACCTTTCCAGCCACCTGTTAGCTTCCTAGGTGGAGATTCACGAGGATCAAGCTTGACCTCTGCATATACAAGAGCGAGCTCTTCCCCATCCTGCACCCAGTAGACCTCTCCTCCCATGCTTCCAGCCTCAGTGAAGGACATCAGCATCAACTTAGGACCAGGGACCTGGGTGTCAGCCTTGACTGAATTATTGGAGTATTCTTGGGAGGGAGACTAGATAAGTCAGGGCCGTGAGCTTAGCTACTGTCCAGCTTCAGTCTGATCCTTCTAGAAGTTCTGGAGTATGAACTGCACCATAATTCATGGCTTTTGTGCCTCCAGTCATTGGCATTGGCTGAGGGGCAGGCCTCTGGAGAAGTGGGCAGCCATCCAGTGTTAGCACAGTGGGGAGTGGGCACACGGTTCTGCAGAGGGAATGTGGACAGAGGCCCAGTAGTGGCCATTACCCCACCTGTCCAGTTGCAGGCAGGATGAAGCCTCCACAGCACCCCACATGGGGTCTCTGTACCTAATTCAACTCGCCCACAGAACTGCAGAGCTGAGTATTCTCTTCAGCCAGTCTCAGCGGCAGGGGGCGAAGGAGAGGAATTCATGCATTCACAGTCAGTTCAAGCACTTGTCTTGTCCAGGGAAGGAGTATTACAGTTAATGGATCTAGAGTGGAGACTCAGTGTTCCCCTTCTGACAAGAAAAGTAATACTTTCACATGTTTTATAAAAAGTATTTATTAAAGAAAAATTCAAGAACACATAACCTGCACACTTTAATGAAATGATGATACAGAAAAAAAATCTTTCAACTATAGATGATGGCCCTACTTCAGATGCACTGTCATTTTTTTAGTCCATATCCTCTTCATTTAATCATTCCACAAATATTTATTGAGCACCTCCTATGTGCCATAGGAAAACAGAGCAAAGAAAAAAAAGTAGACAGCCTTCATGTAGCATACATTCTAGTATGGGGAGAGGGACAAGTAGTAGAATGAGAAGGATGCTATATGGTGATAAGTGATAGAATAAAAAATCAAACAAGGGTGCAGGTTTAAGTAGGATAGTCAAGAAAGGTTTTATGTAGAAAGTACATTCACAAAGATATGAAAAAGGTTAGGGAACAGATAGGCAGATACCTGGTGAAGAGGATTCCAGGCAAAGAGAATGAAACATCCAAAAATCTGCACCAATGGGCCGGGAATGGTGGCTCACGCCTGTAATCCCAGCACTTTGGAAGGCCAAGGTGGGTGGATCACCTGAGGTCAGGAGTTTGAGACCAGCCTGGCCAACATGGCAAAACCCTGTCTCTACTAAAAATAGAAAAGCTAGCTGAGTGTGTTGGTGGGCGCCTGTAATCCCAGCTACTTGGAAGGCTGAGGCAGGAGAATCACTTGAACCCGGGAGGCGGAAGTTACATTAAGCTGAGATCATGCCACCGCACTGCAGCTTGGGTGACAGAGCGAGACTCTTGTTTTGTTTTAAAAGACACATACACCCAAAAACCTGCACCAATGTGTTTAAGGGACAGTAAGAAGAAAACAGCAAAAGTTAAGAGTCAAGAGATGGGAGGCCAGGGAGGTTATTTGTTTATTTATTGAGACAGGGTCTTACTCTGTCACCCAGGTTGGAGTGCAGTGATGTGATCTTCACCATGTTGCCCAGGCTGGTCTTCCACTCCTGGACTCAAGCAATCTGCCCATCTCAGCCTCCCAAAGTGCTGGGATTATAGGTGTGAGCCACTGTGCTCAGCCATGGATGGTGCTTTTACTCTTAATAATACAGGAAGCCATTGGAGAGCTTTGGATTTAGGAGTAAGGAGGGAAGTGAGGCCATGAGAGGGATGACAGTCAGTGAAAAGGTGGTGGGATTGGGGGGCTGTTGCCATTAAGTCCAAGAGGGAATGTTCAGGGAGTTGGAGAATGGGATTCTCACAAGTGCAATTATGGAAGGGTTGTGTTTGTTATGGCGACAGGATATAAGCTTTGATCCTAGGAGTAAGGTAGGTTGGAAGATGAGATCATTGAAGAGGTCCAGGAACTGAGAGGCCAGGGTATTGAAAAGATTAGTATGTGGACATTGAATTTACCCACGAGTTGTGACCTGAGTATGTTGGAGAAAATGATCGTGTATTAGTCCATTTTCATACTGCTATAAAGAACTGCCCGAGACTGGGGAAGTTATAAAGGAAAGAGGTTTGACTCACAGTTCAGCATGGCTGGGGAGGCCTCAGGAAATCGGAATCATGGCAGAAAGTGAAGAGGAAGCAAGGCACCTTCTTCACAAGGCGATAGGAAAGAGAAGTGCCAAACGAAGGTGGGAAGAGCTTCTTATAAAACCATCAGATCTTGTGAGAACTTACTCACTTTGACGAGAACAGCATGGGAGAAACTGCCCCAGTGATTCAGTTACCTTCACCTA